TGCCAGGAGAGTGAACAAAGAAGACTTAAGAGAAACGCAACCAAAATGCTCTTTAGAAGCCAGGATGGCTAGACTAAGCTGGTTTCCTTTGGCCACATCATCTGGGAAGTCCAATTGCCAGAAGAAATGGACATCATGTTTACTAAAGCAGAGGGTCAGTGTAAATGAGGGAAACCTTCAATGAAATGAATTGACACAATAGCTAAAACAATGAGCTCAAACCTACCAGCAATCGTGAAAATAGTACACAAAAGGGCAATGTTACATTCCACCATAATCGGTTGCCATGAGTCTAAGCTGCCTCCAAGGTAACAGCAACAAACTCAGGCCTGATCGCAGTGGGTTGTGGCAGTGACGACCCAAAATCAGGATTCAATCGTTTGGCTGCACTCCTACCCAGTGACTCAATTCAAGTAGGTATGATCATCCAGCCACAGGAGCTGATAACTCATTTGGTACCTGGACTCAGGACACATTCTTGAGAGAAGGTTTGCAGTCAGCTTCACAGGTTCAGTCCATACTCTGAGGACCCAGACAACCTCATATTTTGTAGCTAAGCCTCTGTAAAAATGGTGTGGGGGCAGTGTCCAATCTCTTCTAACTTCACAAGGTAAGGAAAGTAAAATCAACCTCAATAGCCCAAGGCTGATTCCCATGAAGCAGAAATTAAGCATGCCACTACTCTCCAACTTTTGTTGTTTTTGTTTTTTTAATAAATTCATGGCACTCTTTACTTCTTTGCTAGGTTTGATCATTCATTGCAGTGGCCACACAGAACTCACAAGCATTGCTCACAGTTATGGGGTTTATTATTAGGGAAGTAACAGGTTACAATTCAGGATCAGGATACAGTTCTTCAATCAGGACTGCCTCTTCTCAGTCATACTTGCAGGCAGACTGCTCTCTGGCCCTTAGCCTCTTAGTCTATGGCCCCTCAGTCTCTCTGTAAGAGTTGCAAAGCTCTTTAGTACCAATAAATGCCTAGATGCCTTCCATTCTGCCAGCAAGCCTCCTGATTTAAGGAGCTCAGCTTTCTCACTCTGTAGGCCAAGAAATTCATCAGGCTGCCTTCTACTACTGCCATTTCTCTGCCACTGCTTTTCAGTATTTCTGGCATTACAACTTTGTCTTCTTGGTTGACAGGGTTTGCAACCTTGTTTGCAGGATCCAAAGGACATGCTCCACTCTTGGCTCTTTTCTTGGTGGTCACCAGGTCCCCTGTTTATTTTAAGCTTAGCTATTGTTGTTAAGTGACTCATAACAACCCTGTATAAGGTTTCCAAGGAGCAGCTGGTGAGTTTAAACTGCTGTTCAAACCCAACCTTGCAGCCCAGTACTTTATCCCACAGCATCTAGTAGGAAGGCAAAACTGACCAATTCCCTCATTAGGGTTCCTTACACTTTATTTGCATGATTCCACCTCCACAAAGGTGCCACTTATTTAACTTATTAGCAAGCTAGCCAATCCCCTTGGTGGGCCACAAGCACCTAATTTGTGTAGTGCCACCCATTTGGTGGGAAAAAGTATTAATTCACTGCATGGCAGCCTCCTCTTTTGCTTGCTCTCCTGCTTCAGAAGAGAACTTGGGGAGCAAGTGAGGAAGGTTGCACCTGTCGAGTCCTCAGAATTAGTGGTTAGGTCATCCCACATGGCTCATAAACTCGTGGCTTCCTGCTCAGGATTATAAAAGGTAGTAGGTGCTAGCAGGCAAGAGGGAACGGGAACACAGCAGAAGGAAGGAAACCTCCCTGGTGGCAAACTTACCCCTAGGTCCAGATTTCTCCCCACAGTGGGGAAAGATGGCAGCTGCTGTTATGCCCAGAAAGAAACCTTTTCTTTCCTCCTTCCCTTCCTAGAATCAATCTCCCCAGGAACCAGAAAGATAAACTCAGGTGTCCTGGAGATGGGGTGCTTCAGTTAAATGCTGAGTTAGCCGATCAGATAAAGAGGGAGGATGTTTCTCTGTCTCTAAAGATGCTTTTTTAGCTAGTTACCCTGATCTTGACCTAGCAGCACTCAGGGTTTGAATCCATTAGGGAATAATCCAAATGGTTCCCTACCCATTAATATCTCCTGAGGGGTCAACAGAGCACCTTCAGTCCCGATCCTCATTTCTCACTTGAAGGTAGGGGTGAGGTGGGGTGGGGTGGGGGCAGGAAATCGTTCCCACTTAACTCAGAAAGGTTAAGAAAGGTTCAAGGTCACATAGTAGCAAAGTATAAAGGAAAAACAAATCCCAAAATATAAATCTTTCATCTCCTGCCCAGCATAGTTTGGTAGGTACACAAATAATTTTTTGTGGAAAGGGGATTCAATCTGCTGTTTCTTTAAGTCATTGGTCCTGTGGGGGTACTGGTGGGACAGAATTGTACATGGGAGAAAAAAGAGGTCTCCCTAAATGAACCTTTGATCTTCTCCACACTCGCTTCCGAAGTTACCGATCTAACTCTAATCCCTCCAACTGCAACCTAGGTTCAGTCTATTACCAGCAGCAATGCTCTCTATCAAAGCAATGAAGAGTAGATCTGACATTTTCCTTCTTAAAAGAGCAAACACCAAAAAAATCCAAATAAACAGTCCATCACCACTCATAAAATAATCAGCTCAAACCAAAACACCTGCACCGTCCGCAAACGCCCCCCAACACACGCCACCCTGCGCTTGGAAGCGTCGGGGAGGGGACCGCAGCGCGGGCCCCGCTGCTCTGCAGGGAGCCGGGTGGGCGCCGGGCGCGCTGCCAGATCGGGCAGCAGCCGAGGGGGCCGGTCGCCCCTCGCCACGTGGTGGTGGCAGCGGCGGGGTCCCGGGCGCCTTCCCAGCTGGAGAAACCGAGAGCAGCAGGGGAGGAGGAGGCGGCGGAGGAGGAGGAGCGGGGCGGGCGGGAGAGAGGGAGGGGGGGCTGGGGGAGAGGCGGGGGGTGGGGAGAGACCCGGCGGCGGCGACAGGGCGAGGAGCAGAGTGCGGTGCCAGGGGGGTGGGGGCACCGGTGCCCGTCTGGGGAGGGAGCAGGCGGAGGGGGGAAGCTGCGATTACAAGCAGGAACCGGCAGCAGCTGTGAGTTCCCGGCTAGGGCCAGGGAGGGGGGAGGGGAGCGGCGCCCTGGGCCCGGCCCCCGGGGGTCGCGGGGTGGGCCGGAGGAGGGGGCGGGAGGTTGGCCAGCAGTTTGCCCAGGATGACTGGGAGGGGAAGGGGTCAGCGGCGGCCGGGCAGCCGCATTTCGCCCTTTCCCTCTCCTCCGCCGCTCCTCAGGCCGCACCGCCCGCGGAGCCCCTTCCCCGGCCCGGAGCAGAGGGACCGGGGCCCGGACTCCGTCGGCGGGGGGGAGGGGGCTGCGTGGTCTCAGCCCCTGAGAGGGAGGGGCGACAGGTTCCGTCCGCTGAGCTGATGGGGTTTAAAGGGCGGCTCTTAAAGGGGCCGCAGGAGGGGCCCGGGGTCGACTGAGGCACCATTCCCCATCTGCTTTTTCTTACTCTTCACCCGGAGCCGCCGGGCGGAGGGAAGAATGCGGACGAAAGGAAACATTTGTCTCGGCAGCCCTGGGGACGAAGCCTCCCGCAAGTGGGGCTGGGCCTGAGGTGTCGGGTTTTTTTGGGGGGGGGGGTTGGGGTGCTGTGTGTGGTGAGTGCTGGCAGCGAAGTTGGGGGGAGGGGATGGGCGTGGGCAGGGAAGGGTTAAAGGTGGGGCCAGCCCTACCAACCCGCGCACACACTCTCCTTACTCAGACCCGCTCACTCGCGTTTCCCTAATACTTAGACGAGTCTGGGTAGGGGGGTGGGAGGCTGAGGTGCTGGGGCCGGGGCCTGGGCCTGGGCCTGGGCTCTTTTCACCCCAAGGTTCTGCAGCCCAGCTTTAGAAGGTGCGGGATCCCACCGTCTCAACTCTACACACCTCACGGTTGAGCCCCCTCTCCTACGCGCAAACACGCTCCGGCGCGCGCACGCACGCACGCACGCACACACACACACACACACACACACACACACCCCTCGGACATTCCCATAGTGCCTCACGTGACACACGGCCCGAACGTGCCCACCCTTCACACGCTCACGCACGCGTGCACATCCGCGCGCACATGCACACACACAAACACACGTACACACACACCCTCGCGGTCACTTCCTCAACTCTGTCCCCTGACGCCCCCTCAGCCTTGCAAACCCGCTCATTGAGGCAGTGACTGTGACACACCTACACTCATTCACAGGCACACACACTCCGTCCTCCCCCCACATGCCACACATTCATAAACAGACCAGGAGAAGTACACACACGCACCCCTTCGCCTACTCTTAGGGAGCCCTGAGTCATTCCTGCCCCCTCTTAGGGCTCCCCATTTCCCTGCATGCGGGCACCCAGGGACGAGCTTGGCTCTGCACTAGCGCCCCTCCCAGAGCACTCTTTCCCCCATTTGTTTCTCTGACACTCAGCCAAGGACTTCCTGTAGGTCCCAGGTCGTGGCTTGGAGAGCCTGGTTGGTGGGGGAGGCGCTTCCTTTTTCTGAACTCTGGAATCCTACGGGAAGGAAGCAGGGTATTGGGCGGGGGCGTAGCAGAGGAAGTGCTGACTGTGGGGGGCTGACCCTCCGAGCTGCACTAGGGAGGAGCTGGGGCTGCCAGAGGCCTGGGATGAGGTGCTGGGCCGAAAGGTATTTGGGGGAAGTACGGCCTGAGGCTGAGAAAAGGCAGTAAGGGGTAAGCCAAGGGCAGGCTGAGGTCCCGATCCCTTTGCTGGTATAACCTCCCGGTTTCTTCTACTGGCTTCTTCCCGAGCCCCTTTCTTCTGCAGGCCTGGCCAACATCCCCTCCTGCTCCAAATCTTTACATAGCCCCAGCCACTTTCCCCAAAGGCAGCAGGGAAGATGGGGCTAAATAGGCTGGGAAGGGCCTGTGAGAGTTCCCCCACGGAACCTTGGGCCCTGAGCTTCCAGGCTGTCTCTCAGCAGGCTGCAGGATCCTTTGGATCTGGATGACAGGACTCTTTCCACCATTACTCCTGCTCTCCCAGGAGGCCCAGTGTGGGCCGTGGTCCAGGTCCTTGCCATGGAGTCCATGTTTGAGGACGACATCAGCATCCTGACCCAGGAGGCCTTAGGACCCAGTGAGGTGTGGCTGGATGGCCCTGGAGACCCCTCATTAGGGGGAGACATGTGCTCTGCCTCCCACTTTGCCCTCATCACGGCCTACGGAGACATCAAGGAGCGACTGGGAGGCCTGGAGAGGGAGAATGCCACACTCCGACGCCGCCTCAAAGTCTATGAGATCAAGGTCAGGACCTGAAGATGGGAGGGGGGGTGTTTGGCTGTGAATCTGGTGGGTGAGGTGACAGGAATCCAGGGTACAGACCCTTGGGTCTCCTATGAGAACTATGACTGCTTTGAATGGGAATTCTGGTGAGCCCCGAGTCCATCACCAGGGAATTGCTTTGGAAGGGCTGGACCTTCTATCCAAAAGAGACCTGGTTGATGGGAAATGCCTTCAGCCCATGGGAATTGGCTTGCACAGGGTCCCACTGAGGAGGGGAGGGAGCAGAAGGTTGTGGTGGCACCGAGGTCTGGGCAGGAGCAGGGAACCAGTGCTCCTGAAGCTATTGCTCTGCCCCTCTGCCTGTAGTACCCGCTGATCAATGAGTTTGGAGAGGAGCATGGCTTCTCCCTGTATGAAATCAAGGATGGCTCCCTGCTAGAGGTGGAGAAGGTCAGTCTGCAGCAGCGGTTCAACCAGTTCCAGCATGAGGTGAGCCCTTCTTGGGAGAACCCTCCGAACCTCATCTCTCTTGCTCCAATCTGCTTTAGATACCCCTCTCCCCAACCTTTGACCTTCTGCCCCCTTGATTGGATGGCCATGGTCCTTGCTAGAAGCAACTGCAGCGACTCTTGACCATCCACCCTCCCTGGGGTGCTGGGAGTGGGGAGGCACAGTCAGGGATGGGCCTGGCTCTGATGTACACCCCATCCCTTCTGGGCCCTATCCAGTTGCAGAAGAACAAGGAGCAGGAAGAACAGCTCGGGGAAATGATTCAGGCTTACGAGAAACTCTGTGTGGAGAAGAGCGATCTGGAGACAGAGCTGGGGGAGATGGTGAGGCCCAGGGAGCGGGGTGCTTTGTTGTATGTGTGTGTGTTTGTGTCAGCATCTCTACTGGTAATCTTGTATAACTTCTTATGTGCTTGTGGCATGCACCTTGCATGTGTTCTTATATGTCGGTGAGTACTCATTTGGTCTTGTGAGTAAGACTGTGTGTCATCCATGCTGTGAGTGTGTGGAACACCATGACTCTGTATGTTTGGGTCTTACGCTGGGTTACTCTGTGCCTGTGCCGGTAGGATTATGTCTGTGAGGCTGTCTGGGTGAAGATAGAGGTAACAGAGTGTCTGACAGCTGAGGTGAATCTTCACATGTGTAGGATGATGAGTTGAGGTGTGGCCTGATATGTGAGCAGGTGGGTAGGTGCTAGAATCAGGAGACATTATGATCCCTGCTGACTCCTAGCAGTGACCTTGGTCAGGTCACTTAGCCTGACTTCATTCCCTCCTCTGAAGACTGGGGGGAAGATACCAACATCTTGATCTGTGGGGCCTAGGATCCCTGGTAGTGTAGTGAATTACTAGCTGGGCTGCTAACCGCAATATCAGCATTTTGAATCCACCAGCCACTCCACTGGAGAAAGATGAGGCTTTTCTGCTCCTGTAAAAATGTAAAGCCTACGAAACCCTATACAGAGTCGCTGTTAAGTCAGAACGGATTCTAGTCACCAGCATGAGGCAGCAGAACTGTTGTTAGTAGATGAGACATTCGTGTGAAAATTCTTTGCCTTAATGATAATAATTAGTTGCCATCAAGTTGATGCCAACTCATGGGGACCTCATGTGTGTCAGAGTAGAACTGTGTCCCACAGGGATTTCAAGGGCTGATTTTTTAGAACTTACTCATCAAGCACTCTGATAGATTTGAACCCTCTAACCTTTTGGTTACCAGCTGAGCGTGCTAATTGTTGTTAAGTGCCGTTGGGTCGGGTCGGTTCCGACTCATAGCAACCCTGTGTAGGGTTTCCAAGGAACATCTGGTCAGTTTGAACTGCGACCTTGCAGTTCCAACCGACCTTGAGGTCCAGTGCTTTATCCCACAGCACCATGCTAGGACTCCATGTTAATAGCATGCTAATGTAGTTAACATAGTGAATTGGGATCATGTCTTCTGATTCTAGCAACTGTCCATCTGCTCACACATGCCAAGATCCATCTCAGCAGTCACAGGGAGTTAACATAGTTAATACTTATGTGGCACATACTGTGTGCCAGGGAAGGAGCTCTGGTAGCGTAGTGATTACAAGTCGGGCTGCTAACCTTAAGGTCAGCAGTTCGAAACTACCAGCCGTTCCGCGAGAGAAAGAGGAGGCTTTCTGCTCTCATAAAGATTAAGTCTCAGAAACCCTATATGGGGTCGCTATGAGTCGGAACTAACTCCACAGCACACCAGCACCATGTGCCAGGGGAGTCCTGGTGTGGTATTGTAGAATAAGCACTGGATTGCTAACTCACCAGCCACTCCTCAGAAGCCCTGTACAGGGTGGTTATGAGTCGGAACCGACTCGATGACTCTTCACAGCATGTGCCAGGTCCCTTTCTTCTCTCTCTATGTATATCGACTCATCTTCTCTCACGGCCCTGTTAGGTAGGTGTGGTAATATTGTTGTCCTCATTTTATCGATGAGATCGGTGAACAGTTAAGTCATATCTAAGTTATTAAGCTCCTGACCTTTCCTCACTGAGGGGGTGGGGTGTCCTTGTGTATGAATGACAAGGATAAGACAGTACCCTAGACCTCACCAGCTGCAACAACCAACCAGAAACCTTTTCTGTGTTGCAGTTGCTGGGAGGAGAGATCTTGCACAAATGGCTACTTGGACAGGGCTTGGGATGTGTGACCTAAAGGTCTTTGCTCTAGTTTTGGTGGTGATGACCATCTAGACATAGAGCAGTTCTGGGCTTCAGGGGCTCAAAGGGGTGGCCTGGACTTAGGCAGAACATTAACCTTTGTCTTCCTTCAGCGGGCCCTGGTGGAGACCCACCTGCGGCAGATCTGTGGTTTGGAACAGCAATTGCGGCAACAACAGGGTCTCCGGGACACAGCCTTCCCCAGCCTGAGCCCTCCGCCACAGGCCCCTGTCCTGCCTTGCGCTGACCTGGACCTGCACTACCTGGCACTGAGAGGGGGATCTGGCCTGAGTCACGGTGAGATCTTCCAAAATCTCCAAACCTAACCCCCCATTCCAGCATCACTGGACATCTCCGGCTTCTCTTATTGATACACCATGTTGTTATTAAGTGCCGTTGAGTCGGTTCCAACCCATAGCAACCCTGAACAGGGTTTCCAAGGCTATAAATCTTTACGGGAGCAGAACGCCTCATCTTTCTCCTGCGGAGCGGCTGGTAGTTTCGAACTGCTGACCTTGCGGTTCGCAGCCCGATATGCTACCAGAGCTCCTTATTGATACACCATACTGCATTCTAATATTTTTAGTTTCTCCCTTAATCACCATACTCCACACTTCCCTTTCCTTTCTCACTATTAACCCCAGTTTCTCCCACTGATGGCTGGCTGCATTATCAATCCCTGGCTACCCCAATGTGATTCCTATGATCACCAGCAGAGGGCGTCAGCACCCAGATCCTTGCCTGTAATAGGTTATATGAGTCTGAGGGGCCTCTGAGGATGCTGTAGACTTGAGTCTGGTCAGGGGAAGCCTTCGAGAGGTTGTCTTTTTATGTTTTCATTTGCAATATTAGAAAAAGCAGCTCAGTCACTCCTTCCTCACAGCCCTCTGGAAATGGAATCTTTCCTTCTTGGGAATCTAACTTACTGCCTATCTCTCTTGGATCCCTCAAGTTGCAATCCTCAGTGGTTTCATTTTGTGTTGATCTGGGAGTCAGTGGGGGTGCCTAGTAGCTGGACAACTGGATCCAGCCTCACATTATCCCCCTCTGGCAGCAGGTTGGCCTGGTCCCTCGCCAAGTGTGAGTGAGCTAGAGCGACGGCGTCTGGAAGAGGCTCTGGAAGCTGCCCAAGGAGAGGCTCGGGGGGCTCAGCTACGGGAGGAGCAGCTCCAGGCAGAATGTGAGAGGCTCCAGGGGGAGCTGAAGCAGCTACAGGAGACCCGGGCCCAGGTAACTGTCAGGGTAGCTGCAGACCCGGCCCCCCAGATGATGGAGGTCTGAGGGCTGTTGGGAACAGCCTTCAGAGGTCATTTAATGCACCCCTCTGATTCTGGGCCACATTGTGCCTTCCTCCCTGAATTCAGATTGACTCTGGCAAGGGCATGGCAGAACAAGCATGTCCAGGCCAGGATGAGGTTGGAGTCTGACTTCTAAATCTTACCCTTTAGGATTTGGCCTCCAACCAGTCGGAGCGGGACATGGCGTGGGTGAAAAGAGTTGGGGATGATCAGTAAGTGTTACTAAGTCTTCTCCCTCTTAATCTCTACACGCCTGGGGGGCAGCACATCCCAGTTCCCCTCTGGTTTGCTTTCGTCTCTTCCCTGCCCTCTGGTGCATGCTGTTTGAGTTGCTTCTGTGATTGTACATCCTCCATAGGAAGGAGGTGAGTTTCTGGGAGGTTCCCTTTTCTTTCCTCAGGGACCCAAGCCTGTCTCTTTAGAGGTGGTAAGGGTTAGGAGAGATTAACTTCATTACTTCGCTGCTATGTTCTAGTGAGCTTTGGGGCCTCTCTGAGGCCCAACTTTTTGTATCAGTAGCCAGGCCCAGCCATTTGGGTAAGCTCTTACCTCCCTGGTGAGGACGGAGGAGGTGGTAGATTTTAAAAGCTGCTTTGCCATCTTAGGAGAGAGAAACAGACTCAGAGAAGGAAGCCCCACACCCAGTGGGGTAGGGAATGAGAACATACTCTACCAAGTAGCCCTGGCAGAGAGGGGCAGCAGGAAGTAGGAAGGGGGCCATGTCAGTGGAGTGTCTAGTGCTGAAGGCCTGTGAGGGAGTGTTGGGCAGCAAGGGGTGGGGGTGAGCGGCTTTGCAGCAGTGGCGTCTCATGCCTGTCACATCTGCACCTAAACTCATCCTCTCCTACTTTCTGAGAAATAAAGCTCAAACCTCCTTCCGCCTAAGTCCTCCCACCAAGATGAAGCATGTGGCACAGACTCCCTGCTTTCATAGGAGGCGACTGAGGCCCAGAGAGGGATGGGACTAACCTTCCATCACAGATATCTAGCCATGACCCCAGCAGGCTTCATCTTAATCTTCCAGCTTCTGGCCAACTGGGGAGACCCTTCGCCTCCCTCTCCACTCTGGCTGTCACCCAGCTGGGGGGTGAAAACCCATTTTGTGGGACTGGGTGGGATCCCTCAGGTAGGCTGCTAGAAGAAGGAGAGGGTATGGGGAACCTCTGCAGAAGGAGTTCACCCTAGTTTGTGACTGGGGCTCTGAACCTACCCTAGCCTATGTGCCTAGACCAGGAACATACAACGCACTTTCTAGAACCCTAGCTCCCCCAGAAGTCACACTGTAGGGCTTTTTATGGGTCATTGAATCCAACCCCTTCTTATAAGTCTAGCATCAAAGCCATCCCCCCACCTCCCACCCCCGAGTTGGTTGAATCCCAGGGAAGACAGTTTAAGCAGGGCTGGATTCTGAACACCAGGGGTAGATCCCTGGGGCCCTTCCTGGCATACTGGTGGCTTCACTCCAGACCCCAGGTTTCCCTCATGGGCTGGTGCTGCTGTAAGATGTGAGAGGAAGGGGGTGTGAATCGAAGTGGACGGTCAGGGAGAAGGTGGCCAATCCCAGTGTGAATGAATGCTTTAAGAGGTATGCCATCGAGCTGCTTAGTGTTGTCATAACTGCCCTTTTCCCTGCCCATCCCATGGCACCTATTTCCCCCAGTCCCCTTGGCCAGAGGGAGCTGGGCTCTGCTTGGGGACTGGCCTTAGCCAATCTTCGCATGGTCCAGACTGTCTCAGGGCCTCCTGGGTCTTATACTCCATCGGCTGGGCCCTGCCTGGCCAGCCCATGCTCTCTTTCTGGCTAAGCATCTCTGCAAAGTTCCAACTTGGCAAGAGTTAACTTGCAGAGGAAACCCTCACTCCCCCGGTAGTTTTATTTTCTTATAAACTAGGCTTTTTTTAGTAATAAGTGGCATCCCAAGTGCTCCCTCCGCGGTCCTCCCACCAGAGGCCTCAGTCACCTTCTCTGCTCCTTTCCCCCAGCAGCCCTTCCTCTTCCTCCCACTTCAGCCTGACCCTCCAGGCTAGTGGGTAGCTGACACTAGGAATGCAATACCCAGGACTGGGCTTGGGGGCTTGGATATTAATCGGGATGAAGAGGACTCAGGGGATATGAAGGCTGAAGATGGGGACCCCAGGATCTCTGAGTTCCAGAATCTTCTGCATCTGGAAAGTTGCTCATCCGGGCTCGGGGGTGGGATGAGGGGCACTGAGGGACCTCACTTCCTCCTGTGCAGCCAGCTTTACTGTAGGACTTCGGCTTGGTACTGTACTTTGCCTGGACTTGGATCCTGCTGTTATTAACTCTCTTCTGTGGGTTCTGTCCAGGCCTAGAAGGCAGCCTCAACCCCAAGGTTTCCCTGTCCCCACTATCCCAGCCCCTGGGTATGAGCTCTGGTCAGCCAAGTCCCTCTGAAAATACCTCCAGGTCTAAGCTCGGGGTAAGATTCCCCAGCATCTGGTGGCCAGTGCCCAAGGGTCATATTGCCCCAGAGGACAAGCTGCTATGGCTACTCAAGTGCCAAGGGCAGTGGTGAGGGAGGTGGGGACCACCCTTCTCCTTAGAATGAACAGGGAGGTAAGAAGTGCCAAGAGTGTCCTGACCATGGTGGGAGGCACAGAACCCGTGCCCCTTCCACTCTGAACTCAGCTCAAAGGCTCAGTGGTCCTGAGGGTGTGGCCAGTCTTGAGGGTGGAGGAGACATTGTGGAGAGGGTGCTCTTTGAGGTGGTGGGAGCTCTGTGAGGGGAATGAGGGTTCAGTGGGGGAAGGGGTTCACCCTGCAGGGGGCCCAGTGACGAGGGGAAAACTCTTAAGTCTTTCTTTTTTTTCCAACATAGGGGGTTCAGCACTGCAGCTTGGGCCCTTTTCCGCCCACCCCCCTCTCTCCGCCCACAAGCCTCTGCGTGGGCTGCGGTTAGTGGGGGGGTGGGGAAGTGTGAACTCCGAGTAACGATGGAAACTCTGCACGGAGGTCAAGGGCAGTGTGGGGTGGGTCAGGACGGAAGTCGGAGACCCCCGTGTGCCCTGAACTTAGCCTCGTGCCCCAGAACCAGCGGGCCCAGGGCCTCCCCCTTCACGCTTGCTTCTCACCCTCCCTACTTCCTTTATTTCAAACCTTCTTCAGCCAGGGCACCCTGTGCTCACAGGAATGAATCTCTGAGCCCTTGTAGCCCTGAGGGTGCTCCCAGGAGGTGGGAAGGCATCTTGAAGCTGGACCTCTATTTGTTTCCACTAATTTTGGTCTGAGGGAATGGTGTGCATTTGAACCCTAGCCTTTGCCCCTTTCCCAGCCATACTTTTCTCTGTGTTCTCTCCCTGCGCATCCTCCCCTCATTCTTAAACCAAATTCATTGAGCTGGTGGTGCACAATCGTTCCAAAACCTCCTCTCTCTCTCTGTCTGTCTCCTAGACACTCCACTTGCTTCTCTGTCCTTGCCAGACACTGTGCGAGGCCATTTCCAAACAAAAGCTCAGTCAGTTCTCACAAAAAAACGGGATATAGGTATTGTCCTCCTTACAGATGAGCAAACAGAAATACAGGAAAGTTAAGTCGTCTAAGTGCCAAACAAGTCCTGAACGACTGGGACGAGTACCTGTCTCTCTGTCGCATTTTTCTGGTTCATGTTCTTCTCTAGGCTCTCCCAAACCAAAACAGTTGTTCTCGAGTTGGTTTTGACTCCTGGTGGTCCCATGTGTTGCAGAGTAGGACTGTGCCCCTGAGGGTTTTCAAGGCTATGACCTTTCTGACTCACATAGGTCCTTCTGGATGGAGACAACCTTTCAGGTACCTCTGACGTTGTTGTAGTTCCGGTTCCCCTCTAGGTAGGAGGCCCCATATAGGGGCGACCATATGATTTATGGCCAAACTGGGGCCTTTTTGAAAGTGAAATAATTTGCTGAGGCAGCTAATATGAAGCAGGATGGTCCAAGGTAAATTGGGATGGATGGTCACCCTCCTGAACAAGGACTCTGGTTTCCAGCCTTTCTGTGAACTACTCAGTTCAGCTACATCTGGGGAGACTTTCTAGACAGAGTGAACATCTGGCTATGCTGTGAGCATGGCAGGGTGCCATGAAGAGCCAGGCTCTAGGGACTGCAAGTCATAGCTGGTCGAAGAGGGTAAAGGGGCGCAAGGCGCCTGAAAGGAAGTGGTGGGTTGTTGCAATGTGACTTCCTCCTTCCCGTGGGCCCGCAACCTCAAGTCCGCTCCACGGCCGGGTGCCTATAGTCCCCTCCCTGAGGGTCGGGTGGGAAGACCGACAGTGGGTGTGCTTGTGGGTGGTGGAAAGTTTGGTCCTTAGATTCCCTGAAAGGGTGGCTGGGGGGTAGCTCCTGGCAAGGAGGAAAGGGTTGGGAATGCTAGATTTCTATCTGAATCAGGATGACCAACTCTAATCCTGATCCCAGTCTGATCCCCGATTGACAGATCCCATCCCAGATTCTGACTGTATCCCTAATCTAACTTTGTCCACAAGCCTGACTTCAAATGAACCATCAACTCCAGCTTTAAGCTTGACCTCAAACCCATGCCTAGTTTTGATCATGACCCAACACTAGCCTAAATCGAAGCCCCATCGCATCATTTTGTGGCCCCAGTGCAGCATGAGGCACCCAGGGAGCTTTCCAAGGGAAAACATGGCATACAAACCAGCATTGGGGGGGCAGAAAGAAACCTTCTACAGAGGAGGACACTTAGATCTCTAACCTTTCTGATCTCAGTTGCTTCATCAATAACAGGGAAGGTTCTAGTGTCCTTGCTTCAAAATAGGCGCCAGATGAGATCTTGAGATATCAGAATGATTCGTGGAACGAATGAATGAAAAGCTAAGTTGAAGAAGGGTGAAGAGATCTGCAGCCCAGGGTGCTCTCCTTTCTGCCCGTTCTTCCATTTGCACTCTGGCTCTTCTGAAGGTGCCAGCTCAGCAGCCTGAGGTGTCAAGAGCATGTGTTTGTATCCCTGCTCTGCCACCACCACTCCGTGACCTTGAGCCAGCCTCCTAGCCTCCTTGATCTCCCACTTGCACGTATGTCTAGCACCTTCCTATCCTCTCCTAAGACAGGGTTCCCAGGCCACTTCTGAGGTTCCCAGTCTCCTTCTCCTGACCATTTTTCTCTTCTGCTGTTTCTCCATCACTCCCCTCTTCCATTCCAGGTGATTTTGGAAGGCAGTATGTGTAATGATTGGGAGCCTAGTCTTTGGAGTCTGAGAGGCCAAAGTTCCTCTCCTAGCAGCTCAGCTAGTACTAGGCTTTATGAATTTGGTTGAGTTACTTTAACCTCAGTAAGCCTGAGTTTTCTCATCTGTAAAGTGGAGCTAATAAAAGTATCAGTGTCATAGGGTTGCTGTGAAGATTAAGTACAATTCAAGCACTCAGAGATTAGCTGTGGGTCTTTTCCCCTTGGGTTCATCTCAGGTTCTGAACTCAGAACTGTTCCCCACAGTTGAAAAAAGAAGCACCTTGTACAGCTCTCTGCCATTCTCTTGGCCCATCCTGGCGTGGCGTTTTAGGATAAAACACTGAACCACAAGGTTGGTTTGCACCACAAGGTTGGTGGTTCAAATTCACCAGTTGCTTATTGGAAACCCTATACAGGGTCGCTGTGAGTCGAAACTGACTCTACGGGCACTTAACAACAATAACATCCTTCCCAAACAGTGTTGATGGTGGAAAATAGCGCTCAGGTGTGGGCCAGGAAGCCAGGAAATGGAGTGTATGTTTTGGTGCATGTGTGCAATTCTTGGTTGTGTTGTGTAGTTGAGATTTTTTTTTTCCACTGAATTGGCAATGTTTTTTAATGTGAGTCATTAAAGTTGTTAACATAATCAACAGCCCAGGCCAGGCACCTTGAAGTGGGGACAGATGGCCTAAGGGGGAGGTCCCAAAGGCATCAGGAGGAGGTCATGTCCCATCACCTTGCCCAGGATCTGGGAGGTCTTTGTGAGGGTTGCCTGGGCTGTGGGGGGGCTGTACCTGCCTGCCTACCCCAGGAGAGGGGGTTGGGCATTCCGGGACAGGATGCAATGGGGCCAGGATAGGCCTCTTCCTTTAGTTTGCTGCTGCCATGTCTGCATTACTGTGAGGAAGGTGCTGGAAGCTGGGCCGTGGAAATGGGAGTAGCTCATGACAAGGAAGGCAGGCAAGCAGGGGAGATACAGGGGCCTGAGAACTGAGTGTGACACGGGAGTGCTCTGTCTCCGAGGTGGGGTGTGAAGGCTATGACCTGTATCTGTCACCTGAGGTACAGTAATGAAGGTAGATGGGGAGTGAAACTGTGGCTGCCTGGACAAAAGATACAGTCTGATGGAGGAGACATTCCTGCCCCCAGGTTGCCCTCCATCTGAAGGGGGAAATAGGGGTATTCTGTTGAGGAGTCCCCAGGTGAACATAGGACACACCTTCAAGTCTGATGGGGGAAATGGTATTTCTTTCGGTGGGCCATGAGATGGCCCATTTAATGAATGTAAGGGCTGAGAGGTGGAGATTGAGGGACAAGGAAGGAACCTTGGCATGGAGGCCAAGAAGGATCCTTCCTCTCACCTTTGTCTGTCAGCCTTTAGATGGGTACTGAGGGCTACCTCTTTGAGAAGTGGACTTGTCCCCCAGAGTCCTGGTCTATTTGCAATAATTTTTCTTTGATCCAAATGAATAATCTGTGAGAAGCAGCTGTCTCTCCCCACACCAAGCCCTGCTCCAGGGTTAGTAAGAGAGACCCAGCCATTGAGCAAAGAACTGGGAGTTCAGTCATGTTTACCTAGTGCTCCGATGCTCTAACCTTATGACTTCCCCTCCTCTTCTCCGGGTCAGACACACACACACACACACACACACACACACACACACACTCACTCTCAGGCCTTAAACTCATACTAACCTCGCACTCCTCCACGTCCACCCACATCATCTCTTACATGTCCATGACATGGAAATGGGGACAGAACTCCAGCCCTACTCCCTGACCTCACTGCCTGCTCAGGACCTTACAACTCTTTGACAAGAGGGTGTCCTTGAGGAGGAGATCCATCTGGGGGTGGCTGAACCTTTGCCTGCCACTTTCCTGTAACCCCAGGTCCCACAAAGTTCTGCAGTCCCTTCTGAAGTTGGTGAGGTGGAGAGATCCAAGGAAGCCAAAATCCTTGCCTTCCGGGACATGCCAGGCTCTGTGAAAGCCCAGGACAAAGATGAAGTAGGGCCCAAGAGCCTGTGTGAGGCCAGGGTGGAAGGAAGGGGAGGGGCAGGGCTGAGAAAGGAAGAGAAAAGGAAGTGCTCAGGAAGAAAAAAAAAAGAAGCTCAATTCATTATCTGCTTCCTGAACGTCCAGTGGTTATCGGGCACTGACCATGTGCTGGGAATACAAATACAATGGAGTTCTAGTAAAGTTCTAACACACAGCAGCTCTGTCTGAGTGGCATTCCCTGAAAGTGTGCAGTGCGGACAATAGCTGCTGACAGACATCTCAGTGTAAGGCATGCCCTAAAGTTATACAGCAAGGAGCTCCTGAGTGATATAAGGCTGAAAGAGCTCAGAAGTAACTCTGAGGTGGAGGCAAGAGCTGTGGACGTGGAATCAGGCCGACTTTGGTTCATGTTTATCCATTAGTGCCTCTGCCCACCCAGGAAGTTATGTCTTCCTTTATATAATGAGTCTCCTCATAAGCTGAGCAACAGTGGCTCCCAACCTCTTCAAAGTGAGGACTCTTCATGGACCTCCTCCCATCACACTGATGATGCTTATACTTTTAGTAGGTGCTGTTTGAGAAAATTCGCACTGATAAAAGTTACTATAAATTTAGTAAAGCTTGCTGATGAACTTGAGTTGGTTTTGTTGTTTTTTTTTTTTTTTTAAAAAAAAGCAAACTTCTCCACAGATTAGGAAAACAGTTACAAATACCTCTGTTGAGATAGATTCAATGCACAGGCAATGTTTGGTGAACTCATGGATTCAGGGACCCCTTGGAATCCCTGACCCATGGGCTGGAACAACTGTCCTAGCCTAATGGAAGGCTCTGTGGAGGAGAGGGAAACTCCATTGAAGAGATGATGTTTGAGTCAGGATTTCAAAGTCAAAATTTCGGCCAGGAGGGGTGGTGTGGGCCACATGAGAGGCAGCACCCACTACCCTTTTCTTCTTTTCCACTCCCTGCCCTCTGACCTCAGGGTCAGACAGGCTGGGCCAAGCCCTAAATTTGAGGCACTGGGATGTCTCTCAGGGTGAATTTGGCACTGGCTTACACGGAGTTGACGGAGGAGCTGGGCCGGCTTCGCGAGTTGAGTTCTTTGCAGGGAAGGATCTTGAGGACACTGCTGCAGGAGCAGGCCCGGAGTGCGGGTGAGCTGGAGCATAGCTGGGAGAGCTTCCTTGCAAGCTGGACTGGGATTGAGGGGGTGGGGGTGGGGGATAGGGTAGCTATGGCAACCTTCCAGCACCCAGGGTTCTTTTTGACTTCCTTTCCTGCTGCTTGGTCCTTTATCACTCACATTGGAAGGGGAGTGGGGTGGGGAGCATCTCTCTGCACCTTTGCCCACCCCAGTCCATCCTGTTTTTTCTTCTAGGCCAGAGGCACTCACCGCTGTCACAACGCCACTCCCCGGCCCCTCAGTGTCCCACCCCATCCCCACCTGCCCGAGCGGCACCCCCTTGCCAATCCCCAGTCCCCCAGCGCCGCTCCCCGGTGCCCCTGTGCCCCTCGCCCCAGCAGCGCAGGTCGCCTGCCTCGCCCTCCTGCCCATCACCCGTCCCGCAGCGCCGCTCCCCGGTGCCGCCAGCCTGTCAGACTCCCAGCCCACAGCGCCGCTCCCCAGTACCCTCTGCCTGCCCAGCCCCGCAGCCGCGGCCCCCGCCACCCGGGGAGAGGACGCTGGCCGAACGAGGCTACTCCAAGCCGCCCAGCCACCATGTGAAGGCAGGTTTCCAGGGCCGGCGCAGCTACTCGGAGATGGCGGAGGGCGCGGGCTACACGGGCGCCTCCCCACCTTGGCTGCAGGCTGAGGCTGCCACGCTTCCCAAGCCCCGGGCCTATGGCGAGCTCTATGGCCCTGGTCGGCCCCTCAGCCCACGGCGCGCCTTCGAGGGCATCCGACTGCGCTTTGAGAAGCAGCCGTCGGAGGAGGAGGAGTGGGCTATGCCCGCCAGCCCGCCCAGCCCGGAGGCGGGCACGATCCGCTGCGCCTCTTTCTGTGCGGGCTTCCCTATCCCCGAGTCACCGGCCGCCTACGCCCACGCGGAGCACGCGCAGTCCTGGCCATCCATCAACGTGAGTAGGGTACCCAGAGCCCTTGAGCTAGAGAGCAGGGAGGCTGGTCCCCTATTTGTGCCTTGACTTGCTGGGCCTAGCAGAGGTTGCTTCATCTCTCCTCTGATCTCGTTAGCCTGAGTTGAATTTCCTGTTAATAATTTTGTCCAGGCCGTGGTTGAGTGACAGCTGTACAGTTCACACTTAATAGCTGTGGGACCCTTGACCAGTGACTTATCCAATCTGATTCTCAGTGTTCTCATCTGCAAAAGGAGAATCACAATAATATCTCATATTGTTGTTGTCCGGTACCTTTCAGTCAGTTCTGACCCAGCTACCCTTGAACCGCTGACCTTTTGGTTAGCAGTCAAGTGCTTCCCTTGCGATGCCACACCAGGGGATTCTTAAGCAGGAGGCAGTGAGCCTAAAAACCTCTCATAGTGCCTGGCTCTTAGTAGAGCTGGCTATGGATGTTGATGGTGGTGGCGATAATGAAGAAACTGCCTGTATGTCTGGTTCCCTCCATCAACCTCAGAGCATCTGCTGTCTTCTCTTTGTTCTAGAGACATTCCTATCTCAGGACTCCATCATTTCATGGAAATAATGAGTTCAATAAATGTCGGAGCCACCCTATTGCTACCTGGAAGAGCCAAAATATATTCCAAAGCTAGACAGAACATTATTTTGGGGTTGTGCATTGTTTGGGATTATCCATGGCTTTGTGTTATCTGGAAGCTGTGTTTTAGTCACTTGGGAGGGCGCATATCTAGGTCCTGGCTTTCCTCATGACCACAGATGTCCTGATAGGGTGAGTAGTAACACTCTCGAAGACACCCACCTTGACCCTATGCTCCCATCAGGGGAGTTGAAGCTGGGCTGCTGAGAAAGGTTGTCCAGACTCCTTCTGCAAACAACAGCCCTTTTTCTTGCCCTGGGGCTCCAGAAAGGGAGGTTAGGATGTGGGGACTCTGGGTGGAGACAGGGGACAATAAATGACAATCTCTTTCTCCCCACAGCTGCTGATGGAGACAGTGGGCTCTGACATCCGCAGCTGCCCACTCTGCCAACTGGGTTTCCCTGTCGGCTACCCGGATGATGCCCTCATCAAACATATTGACTCTCACCTGGAGAACAGCAAGATTTAGGGCACCTCCTCCACCATGGGCTGTTCCTCCACTCTGTCATTACATCCACTCACTCACTCACTTTGAATGCTGCATGAATCCTGTGGGGTAGGGGGCTGCCCCTTGCAACCCCCAGATACCTCCACTAGCTACCGAGTCAACGTGCGTGCCGTCTTCCCTGGCCCCGGCACCACTCAGCTCTGGCTTTTCCTGGGAGGTCGGCAGAGGCTCCCCCAGCATCCGGGCTTCTGCTGAGGAGGAAGGGATCTGGGCTAGGACTAGGAGGGATGTACCCTTCTGGGCCTCTTCCTTTGCCTTCCTGTTCTCAAGCAGGGTTGGACCTAAGCAGGTGTCTGGTGTGTGGGCCTGAGGGAGGGCAAGGATGCCAGAGGCCCCCAGGAGCTCCCCAGAGCCTCCCCAGATGTCCATCTTTCTTAGGCTGTACCCTGTCCTGTGGGGGTCCCAAACCTGCCCTACACACTGAGGCCAGTTCCCCCTTCGTGTGGTCAGCTTGGCGTCATGACATGGGCCCTCTGGGAAGAAGGGGCATCTTGTTTCTTGCCATTTCTCACAGGACAGTCTGCTCTCCCCCTCTGCCCACCCCGGGGAGCAGGAGGGTGGGAGAGGAGAGAGAGGGCCTTGGAGAACAAGGGTAGAAGATCCAGCCTAAAGAGATTGCCATGGGGTCCCTGCACTATAACCCTCAGGCCAACTGTCCAGGCCCACACCCTCTTCCTGGAGCCCTGGGCACACACTGAGGCACAGGTTGGCAAGGCAGATACTCCCCTCACCCTTCCTAGAGCCCACGTGTGACTCAGCATCTGTTAGCAGGGTTGGGATCCTCAGCCCTGCCTCCCAGGCCAGAACCTGAGAATGGGCCCAGGGTGCTGTGGAGATCAACTTCTAAAGAGCTAACCCCTTTCCACACCCTACCGACCCTTATTCCCTCTGTGAAATCTACCTCAGAAGGACGGGTAAGCAGGAGGTCCCCAGGGCTGAGGTGGGGAGCTTCCTCTAGTGAGAGCCTACTACCCCACAAAGAATCCAACCCCCCTCCACTGGCAGCCCTTCCCAGGTCTCAGCCCTGGGTGTGGCAGTGGATGCGCCTATCCGTGCACGTACCGTTCTGATCCAACTCTTCCAGACCCCACCACTTCTCACAGTCCTCCTCTCCTCAGTGCAGGGGAGGGAAGGAATGTGTCAGGTGGTACAGGGGCCAAGGACTCCAGAGACACATGTCATTGTATCCTGAGCGCTCCCACCAGGGAGAAGAAGTGGGGAGGAGGACTGGAGAGGGGAGGCAGGGGCCCCTGTGCTCTCTGAGAAAAAGTTGCCAGTCCAAATAAAACTTAACCTGTTCCATCTGCGCTCGGTCTCTGCCCTTGGATAGCTGGGGTGGAGCTTAGAAGCTGTTTCAAGGAACCAATCATGAAAGGGTGGCATTGGTGAAGTAGGGGGTGTGTAGTCACCTACATGAAGATGTGGGCATGCCACACGTGGCATGTGACATGGAGTATATTTGGAACATGTATGGGCAACAGAGGATGTCTTCATGAAGGCCCCCAGCCCTGAGCAGGTGTTGGGATCTCCTGAATGCTCTTTCTCAGCAGATCTGGTAGGTGGAAGCCCTAAAGTTTTAAGGGTTCATGTCAGGAGCAGTTATACATGAAGTGATTTCTGCATGCCAGGACCCATGCGGAGGCCTCAAAGAGGTCTAACATCCGTTTTCCATGTCCCTTGTAACTCGACATGTAGGGGAATGGTTGGGCTCCTGGCTCAGCAGTTGTCTGTGAAGTCCCACAGCCTGAGAGGTCAGAGCCAGGTCATGACCCCATGACACCTGCCTGAACCAGGCTGTGCTCTTTGTCTTCAAGAAGAGTCTGAACTAATCAACTCTGGGTGCCTGTCATTTCTTTGTGGACTTTTTCTTTTGCCAAGGATTCACATAAAAACAGGGAAGAACTGATCACTGAAGACCCGAGGTTGAGCTCTAGACCCTATCCCCTCCCCAGTCATTGCCAAGGCTCAGACTTCTGTGGTGGGACTTCCCAGCCCCTGCTGCTCCTCGTTGACGGTTAACAACCACACCTGCTCTCTAGGAGCTCATCCAACCCCGAGTCACCCTTCAGTCAAGTCCCATGTGCCAGGAAAAGTGGAGATGGCCATCCCTACATGATATGGTGTCATAAGTCACTGGAAAGGTTTTGGAACCTCTGAGGCGTGGTACTCAGTGTCTCACCTCAGTCAACTCCCATGGAAGAAGGCAGCGTCAGGTTTCCTGGTCTTGGCCTGCTTAGCCCTCTGGAAGCACTTGCTAGAAGGACTTGAATGAGGTAGAGGTGATCCAGAGACAAAAGGCAAAGAAAAGTCCTGAGCATTGCGTTAAGGGGCAGTGACCTGGGAGTGGACCTGCACAGAGACAGGGTACCCAGGTAACTGCTCTGGTCCATGAGCATGTCTGAAAGTGGAAGGGAACCTAGATATCCCACAGCCTGTCCACTGTCCCTGTCACCAGGGTGAGGGGGAATGCTGGAACAGAGGGTGCAGACTCTGGCAGCTTGTCTCCTTGATTTCTGGGGACCTGAGAAAGGGTTCGGGTGCAGGATGGAAAGCTAGTGTGTCTCCAGCCCAGGAACCTCCCAGCCAGTGCTTGTCTCAAAAAGAGAGGACATAGTGGTGGGGAGCTGGAGGAGGCTGGGAGGACTGTGATCAGACATAGTACATGTGTTGCCCTTGCTCCTGGGAGAGTGAGTACTAGCAGTGGAGAGAGTGTGGGGGCAAAGGGTCTATGTCTCTACTCTCCGGGAAGGATGGGGACGGGAGGGACATCTTTCACAGAAGTGAGGTGAAGGCTGGAGAAGATGCACTTGGGGGTGGTCCCAGAGCCAGAAGATCTGGCTGGAGCGTAGAAGGGGGACTCACAACTTCACTGAAGTGAGGCCAGCCAGGTTTCTCTCCATGCCAACCTCCAACAGTCTTGCCAGCTCTGGTCTGTCTGCCCTTAGTCTCTCCTTCAATCACTAGCTTAGCTGCTCCTGGGTTCTCATCCATCCGAGAGGACACCTTAGCCCTGCCCCTCTCCCCCTGGGTTTCCCTAGCCTGAGCTACCAGGCCATGGAAACAGACCCCTTCCCCTTTCCTGGGTCCCTGTGCATACTGTCAGGCAATCAGCTGAGGAGAACAACAGCTCCTCCTTGTGTGTATACATGCCTGTGTTGAGGGGGGAGTGGGGGAGGGCGCCAATTGCTAACAGAGGGAAGGGTGTGTGGGTGAGTCAGCTGTGTTAATGAGAAACACCTCACCCAGCTGATTAGGGCTAATGAAGAGGAACAGAGTGGGGAGGGGGTTTCACTTGGTGACATCTTTACAGGGGAAAGAAGTAGATCAGCCCCCCCAGTCTCATTTCTTCCTCTGCAAGGACAAGAGCAGAACAAGTTTGGCTTCTTCAGGATGAATTGAGGTCAGACTCTAGAAGGGAATGGCAAGGACAAAGCGTTCCTAAGTGGGAAGGGGTAGGACAAGGTGCTGGGGGAAGAGGACAGAGAATGTGAGGAAGAAGGTGCCTGTGAAATCCTCAAGCACCCTGCCCCTAGCCTTGCCCTTCCTCCAGAAAAACTCTTGGTACTAAGGGCTGTAGGCTCTGGTCACCCAAGTGCCTTTTGAGAGCTAACATCTGCAGAGGGCCGTGAGGCATGCTGCTCAGAGGAAGACTCTAGCAGCCTGAGAGAAAGCTCTGGTTTGGGGCATTTACTGTCTATGCAGACAATCCAGGGCGGCCTGGCTGGACTGATGGGGAAAAGGGGTGACCTGGGTGCCATCTGGAGGTCTTCTTGCTGGGTCCCCTGTTCTTTGTGGCAGAGGTAGAAGCAGAAACCCCTCAGCACACAGCCCAACCCACCCTCCAAGCCATTTCAGCCAAGGACAGGGGTATCAGGAACGGTTCACAGATGCTTAAGTCTGCTGTGTGAGTGAGGCCATGCGGGGAGGGGGACAGGATGGGTGTAGGCCAGCACCTCCAACACCTCCTAATTTGCATTACCACTGACACCCTTCTTGACCAAGAAATGGAACCAGAAATAACAAGGGGGGTGGTTCCCTTGAGGGGGCCTATGAGGCTAATTTTTCCCTGTCTCCAACCCTCCCATGGTGTGGTACCAGGACTAGACAGAAAGTCATAGCTGGTCTGAGGCAGGGGCAATGCGCCCACTGCTGGGCTCATCCCTCTTGGCAGTGGGCAGACACCCCAGCCAGATTTCTCACTTCCCTGAGCCCCCAAAAACCTAGCCGTGTCCCTTTTCTTCTGAGTTCCCCTCCTCTGGGGACCCAGTCCCTGGAGCTCCTTCTAGAGGCTGTGAGGGCTCCAGCTCTGGCTAACTGGGAGTTGTCTCTGCCAATATAGTTCTCTAAATCGGTGTCCAGCACCTTCCATCAGATTGGGTATTTCCCAAGGGCACAGTCTGAACTGCCCCTGCCAGTCTAGGAGCATCTCGAAGGAGCATTCTGCCTGGGAAATAACCCAGACAATAGAAGAGAGTGTTTGGTTCATTTTTAGATATGGTATTAGACAAGTCAGGGTCCATGTGAGATCTTAATCCTAAAGACTGTGTGATGGGAGGAAAAAGTGAGGGACCCACAGTTCTGGGAGAGTCTCCCTGCTAGAGGCCTCTAGTGCACCTGGACTTGGAGTTGGTTCCCAGGTGGGAGATCCTGGACAAAGGACAAGGACTGTTCCATTTTAATTTTTATCCCCTGATCAAGTGACTGCCATGCAGACCCCCACCCATTCATCTGTTTATGTGTACTGAACTGACTTCTGTTACAAAGAGAGTAGGAATAGTGTAGCAGTCCCAGCTTGCAGGCAGGAGATGGCAGACATGATGGGCTGTGGGAAGGGAGGCCCCTTCTCTGCCAGCAGTCCTGGCTGGGAAGGGCAAGGTGATGAGGGTGGAGGGAGAGAAGGGCCTGGCAGGGAAACCAGGTCATGAGAGACAGCCAAGAGAGCTGTGAACACACCGTGGGAA